TTTATATTCAAGGGGTTTATGACTTCGAATTATCCCCAGCTATTCTGGGTCGGTAAGGTTTGATCGGAGCTGCTATCCCAACTCTTACATCATGGACAATTAGCTTGGTCTTAATTGGAATCTAAGGAAATAACAGGTGACATCATGGACAATTAGCTTGGTCTTAATTGGAATCTAAGGAAATAACAGGTGACATCATGGACAATTAGCTTGGTCTTAATTGGAATCTAAGGAAATAACAGGTGACATCATGGACAATTAGCTTGGTTTTAATTGGAATCTAAGGAAATAACAGGTGACATCATGGACAATTAACTTGGTTTTAATTGGAATCTATGGAAATAACAGGTGACATCATGGACAATTAGCTTGGTCTTAATTGGAATCTAAGGAAATAACAGGTGACATCATGGACAATTAGCTTGGTCTTAATTGGAATCTAAGGAAATAACAGGTGACATCATGGACAATTAAATTGGTTTTAATTGGAATCTATGGAAATAACAGGTGACATCATGGACAATTAGCTTGGTCTTAATTGGAATCTAAGGAAATAACAGGTGACATCATGGACAATTAACTTGGTTTTAATTGGAATCTATGGAAATAACAGGTGACATCATGGACAATTAACTTGGATTTAATTGGAATCTAAGGAAATAACAGGTGACATCATGGACAATTAGCTTGGTTTTGATTGGAATCTATGGAAATAACAGGTGACATCATGGACAATTAACTTGGTTTTAATTGGAATCTAAGGAAATAACAGGTTTAAGTCTATATACACGGACTTGTTTGGCGCAAGGAAAATGGGAGTTTGACAAGATCTGAGAAGTTTTCTATTTATACTGTCCGAACTTTTCGATAAGGATCTTATCCTCTTTACAACTAACGTTGTCTTTATTAGTGCAGGTTGTCTCTCGTCTCACTTAAAATTTTCTTCTAACATTTTGACATGGCACAATTGCCTATCTGGGGTCTTTATGTAAGCCCTGCTGGGGGGGGGGGGAACTAAAATTTACCCTTTTAGGCTTATCTAACTACTGTCTGGTCAGTGCAAGTCCGGCTAAACCCGGAATGGTTAATAAACTAACTTTAGTCTAGAATAAACACAAAAAAGCTTTAACAAATTATACAGAATTTATTGCATGAATTAAATTGGAACAAAAAAAAGAATGTAAATAAAAACAAGATATACATCAATCCTAGGCAAAACAACTAGGCTAAAAATACACAAAACAAAGCAGCACTTTAACGTGACAAAAGATATACAAAACAATATACACCAAACACGACTAAACAAAACACGACTAAACAAAACACGACTACACAAAACACGACTACACAAAACACAACGGGACAAAACACGACTAAACAAAACACGACTAAACAAAACACCCAGCCAAGTTGCACAAGCAACCTCACTGGAAAGGGGGGGAGAGAGAAAAGAACAGGAAAACATAAATAAAATGCATGGCAGTGGCAGATATATACATAAATATATACACATGTTCAAAATACTACCTACTACTACTATCTAGCTAAATCCTCGAGTAAAATACTAATTCCTATTACTACAATTCTAAAATCAATTCTCAAAAACAAAACTAACCACTGTCTAACCAAGAAACTAGCAAATTAAAAATAACGTGTAAAACAAATTCATTGTAGAACCAATCTTTCCTACACAAGGAGCAGCACGAAGCCATTGGTCTACCTATACAACATCCATATTGATAAAATTGAAGTTAACACACTCCGCTAAGGCCCCAATGAAGGCAGACACAAAGCAAGTGACTCAACATGACATTGCACGAAACAGCACACACATTAATATTAAACAACCTAAAACTCGAGGCAACTTAAAATATACTAATTACTGTCTAAAACAACCAACTATTGACTAAGCCAATCCTAGTCATCGTGGGGAACCCACAATAACAACACATCATAATAAAGTAAAACAATCAAGTAAATGCACACACGCATTCGAACCAGTTTAGAAAACACTCCTAAACACACTGACCTAAATCACGTGGTCCGAAAAGGGTTCAGAAAATACCAAAATACATCTAAAAAGAACACACCACGTGTGTACAAGACCTGCTGATGCCCACTATCTCGTTTTAGACGAAAAAGAAAGAAAACGAGAAACATCGGCAGTCGCTTTCATAACAATCACACATATAAAAGTAAAAAAAAAACAAAAAACAAATACCTTCAAGCAGGAAGTGCCCACATAGAAACTGACCCGACCTACTTTTCGCATCGGGTCAAAAAGGAAAGAAATTATCCGAGCGGTCAGTTTTTATACTGACCGCTTCGGGTGGAAGGGGAAACCCCGTAGCCGCTGTTCAGTGGACCATTCACGCACAGATTCGCCAACAATAAGATAATACAGAATAAATTCACCATTCACCTCACATTTATCACATAATTCAAGTCATCCTTCGTTGACTCGACTTCAAATGGACCAAAATACCAGGCCTGTAATGTCTGATCTGGTTTGGGGAGAATCAGCAGAACTTGTTCCCTACATGAGAACAAGCGGGCCTACGCCATTCTATTATACCATGTTGTATTCGGACAAAGGTCATATTTCAAATAGAAAACATTCGGCCGGGTCAAAGAATGTAATGGACAGCGAACCGGAAACTCTAATAAGAGTTGGTCTTAGGAGAGTTGATCTTAGGAGAGTTCATCACAGGAGAGTTCATCACAGGAGAGTTCATCACAGGAGAGTTCATCACAGGAGAGTTCATCACAGGAGAGTTCATCACAGGAGAGTTCATCACAGGAGAGTTCATCACAGGAGAGTTCGTCACGAACATTTTCCATCACGTTATGTGGTGAAATTTTCCAATAATTTTAATTATTTAATTATTAGTTATTTCGAACTTTGGCGATTTCCTAACCAATAGTCTTGTGACTTTGAGAGTGACCTCCACTGGTTCTAAGGTGGCATAAAAACCTGGAACACGCGACTCTGCAGGCAGCAGTTTACCAGACATTCCGGGAGAGATTCCCACGTATGACGCCATATTGTATTCTATAGTTTAAAGCAGCATTTTCCCCCTATTACTTGTGATTTTATTACCATTCTGTGCTTTACGTTAGCTTCATATAAGCTGTGTTGATTTTCTTAGTGCTATATCCTGCGATAATTGTAACCTAGTTTTTTTTTTCTTCAACTCGTAAGTTGGGTTTTGTTTATTTTGCATATTTATAATATTTTGTATAGAACTAGAGTCATATTTTGCACTTTTAAAAGGTTATTAATATTAATAGATTAAAAGGGTTGTTAGTTACAAGAGCGTGTCTTTCCCCTAGACGTTATACACGAGTCCACGTTGAGTTTTTGTGTCTGATACTCTTTTAGTTTTGTTGTCATCTGTTTGTAACCATTCAAAAAGAATCCGGTACGTGCGTTAGCTTTATCAGAGATACAGTAGCGCTCGTCATAAATTCATGTTAAAATTTCGCTGCTAAAATATTTTGTTTCCAGCTTGACTTGCTTTATTGACGTAGGAGAGGTGAGATGGAAACAACATGGCAAGTCATTTAATCCAACGTTTTCTCACTTTTTCTGAAGGTTGACAGACTTCATAAACATCATATAATGGCGTGGTATTCTCACATGTTAAGACAATGGGATAAAATTTACTTTTTGAGATGCTTCAATAAAATGTAGTGATGTCATTTTAATGATTATGTTGTATTACAACATGTTCTGTATATCGTGTTGCGTTATACTGTGTTGTGTTATACCATGTTGTGTTATATCGTGGATGATTAGTTGGCTGTTCTAAATATCTAGATTTATTTTAGTAGTTTGACCACTTCGGGTTTAGCCAGAGCTACACAGAGTAGAGAGTCGTGCGTTTCCTCGAAAGACATTTACCCAAAGGCCGTTTTCCAGAATGCCTGAATGGGACAAATACCCGAAAGCCTCTTGCAGGAAGGCCGTTTGCCCGAAAAGAAAAAAAATATTTAATATTAGCAAGTAGATATTCAAAAGAAATTTAAAGTAAAAATTTTGATCATTCTATGTATTATTCTAACACAGTTCTAAGCAGAAATTTCTCAACAGAAGTTTGTTTATATATTTTTAAAAGAAATTAGCTTTTAATTTTGAAATTTTAGTAAATTTGTAAAAAAGATCTTTATTCTTCAGTAAATGTAAAGATGATGTTTGACGGCGAAATGTTTATATTCTTTGCTCAGATGACATGCTGCGGTGGTTGTACTACATTTTTGACGCGGTGTAGGCGGCGCACATCTTGTGACATTGAACAAAAGTGCGTGAATCTGATTCAGCGTGTTGAATCTGTGTTGTGTGGGGATAATGTCTCCAAAAGGATGAGACAAGTTCTAGGATGTCCATTGTTTTTCCAATGTGTTTAAGTGATTACATAATAAAGTAATTGGGATTTATTTTACATAAATCTGAGATAACGTGGTATTTGTTTTAGCTTCATAGAAAGAAAACAGTTTTACATTTGTTAAAAAGCAAAAATACAAATTTATTAAATATGTCTACTTGTTAAGATATAAATTATTCTTTTTTTTATTATAAGAGTTGTGTTGATTTTCATAATGCCAAATTTAAATGGACAAGTGCCAACAACGGCATTTGTCGCATTCGGGCAAGTGTCCATTCGGGCGTTTGTCGCATTCGGGCAAGTGTCCATTCGGGCGTTTGTCGCATTCGGGCAAGTGTCCGTTTGGAAAACTGCCTTCTGGCTAACGGCATCCGGACAAGGGTCATGCAATTTGTCGGAGACCCCACTGAGCATAGTCCCTAGTTGGTAGATCAGGTTAATTCCCACTCCCACCCCCATTATATCTTACATCAAAGTTATCTTATTGCTGCCTAATATGTGTATATTATAGCTTAGAGCTAACCTCACTTGTAAAAAACACGTCTTCAAATTGACGTGTAAGATATATGTCAAAGAAAAATAATCCACTAGTTTTTGTTTTATAATGAGCTCATATATAATTTCAGAACAGATTATCATGCGATTACTTTCTCTTAAAACAGTTCATCCTAGGACAGTTGATCACAGGAGAGTTGATCACAGGAGAGTTCATCACAGGAGAGTTCATAATAGGATGGTTCAACACAGGAGAGTTCATCACAGGAGAGTACATCACAGGATAGTTCATGTTTAAATTTTGCAGCAAAAATATTGAGTTTCCGACTGGATTTATCCTACTGCATTGATGTTTTTGATGTCAATCACAAGGTCCCTTCAAATTTGTCATCTGGAGGAAAATATTTTAAGCATAAAATTAGTCCATTAAGGTAGTAGGCAAAGGAGCTGATTAATTTATGGGTATCCGATAAATCACCTACAGTATAAAACGGAAGTGATCTACATCTATATATATAATTCTCTTCATGGGGACCACGCGAAACACCGCCAAGATGTAAGCTCAACATACCATATCGCTACAACCCCCACCACCACCAGTCTGATGAGCTGTTTACTATAGGGTCGAATTAATGACGACTATTAGGGGCAGTTAATTTTAAGCGATTTGAAACTAATGGATGCTAACAATTTCTGCTTGATCTTTTCATTGTCGTCTGTAAACTGTCTTCATGGACGGCTGCTTTCACGAGGGCGATGGAGGGTGGGGTAGTGGAGGGGGTAGATAATCGTTCTTCACGTTCTTCATAATTTGTGAATTCGACACTACCAGTAGCTCGTTAAGGACGAAAACCCCCACCCCACCCTACTTTCCCCCAACCCCTATCCCGCCCCCCATGAAAGCAGCATCCTCCCCTAAGTATAAATTGTTTCAAACTAAATTATCTGCCCCTAATAACAGTCACGACGATTGCAAGCATTTAGCGAGAACCACAGCTCACCAGACCAGTGGGGGTGGGGGTGGTAGCGATATCCCTAGAGAGGATAGAGGGGGCTGCTAGGCGCTTACGTCTTGGTGGTGGTGTCTCGCAAGGTCCCCATGAAGAGAATTTTATATATATATATATATATATATATATATATATATATATATATATAGGTAGATTAAGGTGCATTATATAATGCTAAGCACAAAACAACAGTGCGTGATTCTAAAAATTAACTTGTCATTCCTCAATATCAAGGTTCGTTAAACTAAAATAACAAGCCTTAGAATCCAACCATGTTACTTACTTTCTCTTTCTTGCAATATCCCCATAAGATTCAAATAAAATATACAAAATAAAATTTTGAAATAATATCATGAAAGAAAATTTAGCTTTTTACACCGTAATAGCAAAAACATTGCAAATGCGTAACATTAACGTAAGCAACAAAAATAAACTATTGAGATAGTGTAACAAAACATTATGCACATACATAATATTCTATATCTACTACAAAAAAACGACTAGTAAGACCGTTAAAAAAATCAGAAAAAAACTTAAGCCTGAAAATAATTCAGAAATTTTATATTTTTAGAATTAGTTTTAAAAGTTACAAATCCAGATAACTTGAAAATAATGTTTAAAGTTTAAGGCTAGATTTCTACTTTATTTTCATCAAGCCTATGTTATAACTGGATGTTTCACTTTCAAAAGACTAACATTGATGGCCGTAAAGGAACTTCTTGATCGACGTTCTGGAAAACTCATTAAAAAAAACCACAGTAATTTCCATTTAAAACTTTGCCATTGCAATTTTTTAATAAAATTACTTTTTTTTTTAAAACCACATGACCTAGGTCTGCCATTTTTGTTTTCAATCTCTGTAATAAATGTAAATAATCAAATAGCTTTTGCTTTTTAAACAGTCAGCTCAACAAGCACATCATGGAAGCTCAAGTCTTTCGATGTTCAAGGTAATTATTCTCTTCATAAAACCAGATTATTTATTTGCATTTTCTTTTATTATTTTATTGAAGAATATTACCATATAATATACACTTTTATTACTAGTATGGTTTATTTATATAACGAGTTTATTTTTATTTTCTCGGATACAGCGTATAGAGGAAGTATTGTAATCGTGCTCAAAAATTGCATGAAATTTTTGACAGATTTCATAGTTTTACACCTCAGTACTTTATCATATACGGAGTATAGGGGACCTATTTTAATTGGGCAAAAATAATAAATGCAGATTTATGAAAAATATCGGTGTTCTATGCGTAATCGAGTCGGAAAAACTGGGCTTTGCAACTCTGTATGTATGTCTGTGTGTGCATGTGTATCTATGTCTGTAAACCGATAACTTGAGCACCGTTACACATAGGTTGATGAAATTTCATATACCAGTATTATATCAAACTTATTGTTCTTTGTCAACTTTTCAGCGATTTCCAATAACCGGAAGCGGAACTTATTCTACTCTTGGTTTTTCAAAAGCATATTACTTGATTACTATTTGAGATGGATAAACAAAATTGCACAGGTTATTAAACGATCTAATTCCATGCATTCTGTCAAATTTTGAGTAAGTTCCGTTGACAAAAAGTAGTAACTTACGCTATTTCCGATTCCTCAAAAAAAAAAAAACGAAGGAGAATTTATAAAGTATCCTAGCGAAAATGGATACATTTTAATAACATTAGGGTAAAAAATAGTAATTAATTGAAAAGTTTAATAATTATGTCAGTGGAGATATTTAAAAAAAGAAATTCAAATCACGCTAGTAAAAAAAAATGTGAAATCACATTCCGCGGACCTCCGTGATAGCCTTTTGTTGATTGATAAGGTGCAATATGATAGGTAAAACACGGATATTGTAAATGCTGCCTTTTCTTTATTTTATAAACTAAACGTACTGTTTACTAATTATTATTTTAAATCAATAACAGTTTAGAAGCAGCTCCTAAATGTCATCTATGTTTACTACTATCTTTTGGTTTGCGGACAAGCTAGTAATCACTGTGTGTGTGTGTGTGTACTATGTGAAGCTAGTACTCACTGTGTGTGTGCTATGTGAAGCTAGTACTCACTGTGTGTGTTCTATGTGATGCTAGTACTCACTGTGTGTGTGCTATGTGAAGCTAGTACTCACTGTGTGTGTGCTATGTGAAGCTAGTACTCACTGTGTGTGTGCTATGTGAAGCTAGTACTCACTGTGTGTGTGCTATGTGAAGCTAGTAATCACTGTGTGTGTGTGTGTGCTATGTGAAGCTAGTACTCACTGTGTGTGTGCTATGTGAAGCTAGTACTCACTGTGTGTGTGCTGTGTGAAGCTAGTAATCACTGTGTGTGTGCTATGTGAAGCTAGTAATCACTCTGTGTGTGTGTGTGCTATGTGAAGCTAGTACTCACTGTGTGTGTGCTATGTGATGCTAGTACTCACTGTGTGTGTGTGTGCTATGTGAAGCTAGTACTCACTGTGTGTGCTATGTGAAGCTAGTACTCACTGTGTGTGTGCTGTGTGAAGCTAGTAATCACTGTGTGTGTGTGTGTGCTATGTGAAGCTAGTAATCACTGTGTGTGTGCTATGTGAAGCTAGTACTCACTGTGTGTGTGCTATGTGAAGCTAGTACTCACTGTGTGTGTGCTATGTGAAGCTAGTACTCACTGTGTGTGTGCTGTGTGAAGCTAGTACTCACTGTGTGTGTGCTATGTGATGCTAGTACTCACTGTGTGTGTGCTATGTGATGCTAGTACTCACTGTGTGTGTGTGCTATGTGATGCTAGTACTCACTGTGTGTGTGTGTGTGCTATGTGATGCTAGTACTCACTGTGTGTGTGTGCTATGTGATGCTATTACTCACTGTGTGTGTGTGTGCTATGTGAAGCTAGTACTCACTGTGTGTGTGCTATGTGATGCTAGTACTCACTGTGTGTGTGTGCTATGTGATGCTAGTACTCACTGCAGAGTGACCTCAGTGGTAGTGGAAATAGTGCGCCTTGCCTAGCGTACCGTGGCCTCCTTCTGTCGAGTCCAAGAGTGTCAGGTCGAAATCATATTTTTTAAAAAAACCTCAATGTCAATGTACATTTGAAACTATTAGCCTCAATCAAAATTATGGATTAAAAAAGTGCTCTTCTAGAATAGGGGTTAGGGTTAAGGTAGAAATAATGCGTCGTATTCTGCCCTAAGAAACTTGACAATAATTTATGTGCATCATACATACATTACGTGCTATGTTCATTTAGTAGCAATATCATACAAATGTGCTCACATTCAGTTATATGTTATTCGCAATTTAGTTAGTGTTTTAAATTCTACAAAGTAAATTGAAAGGTCTAAGTAGTCTCTGACAAGATGCAACAAACAGTTGCAGTGTAGCCGCCAAACTGTTTTAGATACACCGTTTTACGAGTGGGCTTAACTGACCAATGGTTCAGAATCTAAGATTGACCATTGTTCAGAATTTAAAGCTGACCAAATGATCAGGGTCTAAATATGGCCAGATGACAAGTACAGCTGACCAAATGATCAGGGTCTAAATATGGCCAGATGACAAGTACAGCTGACCAAATGATCAGGGTCTACATATGACCAGATGACAAGTACAGCTGAGAAAATGATCAGGGTCTAAATATGGCCAGATGACGAGTACAGCTGAACAAATAACTAAGAACTTACTAAGACTCCAAGCCATGTTGTCCCAGTTGCTAGTGATGGCCGGCCGGTGTGTGAGGGCAGGGGGACGTCGGGGGCTGATCAAATAAAAACATCGCCATAAAATTCTCTGTCTGTCTTAAACCTGCTAAACCTCTCTTAAACCTATCCTAAATCCTGCACTAAGCCTTTCTTAAAACCATTATTAAACCTGTCCTAAACACCGATCAAAATCACACTGAACAAAACACTGACCCAAATTTCACTGAACTAAACAATGACCCAACTTTCACTGAACTAAACACCGACCCAACTTTCACTGAACTAAACACTGACCCAACTTTCACTGAACTAAACACTGACCCAACTTTCACTGAACTAAACACCGACCCAACTTTCACTGAACTAAACACCGCCCCAACTTTCACTGAACTAAACACAGCCCCAACTAAACACCGACTTATCAGTATGAAAGACTTGCCTTGGTTCTCTGTACGGCTCAACCTTTCTCGCTGGTGTATGTGGTGGTCTGCAAAAAAATTACAAATTGTTGAGGATGGTGAATGTTTTTTTACAAGCTTTTATTTATTTTGCAACGTCTGTTTGTTTATTTGTTTGTGTGTTTTTTTTTGGGTTTCTGGCAAATCTTGTAACTCAATTTTGACCCACTTCTAATGCAGCGATTTTGTTCAAACTTTCCAGATATGTTCCAATTCGACGACAATACAAATTATCTATTTTTTTTAAAAATTTAATTAGATGTTTAATAAGTCATTACAAACTATTGAAACGGTTTCAAAACTGAGGGGAAGTAACAAAATTAAATCACTGGATATATTACTAAATTCATTAACGGAAGGGGAGATAACTAGCTAGACACAATCACCTAACGGTTTGGTGAGCTGTGGTTCGGAGAATTTTACAATCTTAGGGCTGATCGATCTAGTGAAGGCTATTAGGGGTAGATAATAAAGTTTTTAAATGATTTGAAACAAAGGAGAGGTAGCAAGAGTAAGAGTTGTCACGAACGGTTGCTTTCAATGGGCAGATAAACATTTTTTTTCAGACATTGCGAGTTACTGAGGGTGTTTTAAAGCAAATATTTTTAGTCGTGTCGATTTCCATAAATGAAGAATAAACCAAAATATAAATATCCTTCATAGCAACAAGCTTTTAAACGGACTAAAAAACTTTTTACTTTCTTTAATAAAAGCTTTTGTTGCTAAAATATGTAAAATATCTCATGAGCGCTCAAATCTATAATTAAATAAAATAAAAGTGTTATTTTTAACATCTTCACAGCGTGTTGCTGTTTAGGTTTTTTATATTTTTTTTTTTTTACTTTCTCGTAGATGGTGTATACAGATTTGACGTTTCCCATTTTCCTGCGTCAATAAAACTCAGTTGTTCATTCTTGTCTGTGTGTGTCTAACCATAACCCTAACACCAACCCATATACAGCATTTTCTATGGTTAGGGTCTAACCATAACCCTAACACCAACCCATATACAGCATTTTCTATGGTTAGGGTCTAATCATAACCCTAACACTAACCCATATAGCAGCATGTTGTAAGATTTTTTGGCTTCATTTGAAAGGAGCGTCTTGGCACAAACTACTCTCCATTTCTGTAGCCCAGTTCTACTGGACTTAACCCTAACCCAACACTTACATTTATATCAGTTATCTCCCGTTTATTTTATTTTTTTACTGCATAAGTAATTTCTAATAGTACAAATCCGATGGTCTGTTAATTGTGTACCTGTGAGTCTTGCGGTGACTAAGGGTTAGGGTTAGGGTTAGGGTTAGGGTTAATTGTGTACCTGTAAGTCTTGCAGTGACTAAGGGTTAGGGTTAGGGTTAGGGTTAATTGTGTACATGTAAGTCTTGCAGTGACTAAGGGTTAGGGTTAGGGTTAGGGTTAATTGTGTACCTGTAAGTCTTGCAGTGACTAAGGGTTAGGGTTAGGGTTAATTGTGTACCTGTAAGTCTTGCAGTGACTAAGGTACTTCCAGCATAAGTAGGTCAAGGCCAGTAGTAGCAGTAAACCTGTTGATGAGACAAACAGACAGACTTAAAGTAAGACAGACAATTATCTGCTTTAGTTTTATATTCTACGACAGACTACGTGTTATAGAGCTGATTTGACAGACTTTAAGGTGTGACTTCATATTTAATTAGACAGAATTTCAAGACAGCTTTTAGGTTAGGTTAGGTATGCCTCTGTTCTGGACTAGTCTCTCCAACTGTCCCCAGGTGTATCCAATCTTCTTGGTGTTTTCTTGCAAGTCACGTCTCTAGGTCTTTCTTGGTCTGGCTCTCCTTCTCCTGCTCTGTGGATTCCAGATGAGGGCCTGTCTTGTTATGCTGGATACAGGCTTCATGAGTGTGTGGCAAATCCATTTTCATGCACTAAGATCGCCTTTATTTGGAAGTTTTATGAGTAGTCCCTCCTTACACTCCTCTGATATTTGTTCATCTTCCCAGATTTTCTTAAAGAGTGTGTGTAGTAGTGTGGTACTCGTTTCTATATCTGCTATCACTGCTTCTGCCGGTATACCATCTATTCCTGGAACCTTCCAATTTTGCAGCTCTTTATAGCTTTATGTATCTCTTCTTTTGAAGTTGGGTTACAGTCTATAGGGAGATCACTTTCAGCTGGTGGTATATCTTGCGTACTCTCTGGTGTTGGTCTAGTCAGTAGTTCTTCAAAATGTTCTGCCCATCTCTTCATCTGTCCTTCCGCATCAGGTGTTGTTTTTCCATCTTTGGTCTTCACTGGCCTCTCTGGTTTACTGAACTTCCCAGATATCTTCTTAATTGTATTGTACACGTCCCTAATATTACCCTGGTACAGTGCTTCTTCCGCTTCTCTTGCCAGCAGTTCTAAATAACTACGCTTGTCTTTCCTTATGCGTTTCTTGACACTTGTGTTTGTTTCGGTGTATTCTTCCAGTGATTTTAATTTAGCAGTCAGTGTACGACTGTTGTTTAATTTTGCCTTCTTCCTTTTTTTCTCTTCAATAATTTTCAGAGTATCTGCTGAAATCCATTGCTTATCTTTACTTTTGACAGGGCCTAGCACTTCTTCACATGGTGACATAAATATGTTTTTATTTTTTTTCCCATTTTTCCTCAATCGTCTCTTCCTCTATTAGCTCTTGTAGGACGTGAAACTTGTTCGAAATATGGAGCTTAATTTTAGTTAGCTTAGATGGGTCCTTAAGTAGGCCAGTGTTATACCTATATTTCCTTTTGTTTTCCAACATGTTTTTCTTCAGCTTGAGTTTTACTTTAGCAACAAGTAGGTGATGGTCTGAAGCAACATCAGCTCCTCTCTTGACACTTACATCTTGAAGTGATCTCCTGAACTTTTTTATGATACATATATGGTCTATCTGGTTTTCTGTAAACAGCTCGGGTGATATCCAAGTAGATATATGTATCATTTTGTGATGAAAGTGACTCCCTCTAATTACTAAATTTATTGTGGCACACAAGTAATTAAATCCTTCTCCGTTTTCATTCATCTCATCTAAACCTTGCTGTCCCATATATTTTTCATATCCTCTGTTGTCGCTTCCAATCTCAGCATTGAAGTCGCCCATGAGTATAAGGATGTTTTTTCTTGGGCAGTTCTGGATAATGGTCATTAGCCTGTTGTACAATTCATGTTAGTCCTCTTCTGTCATTTGTTGGGGCGTAGGCTTGTATTATGTCCATGTTCATTGGTCTTATTTTAGTTTTAAAAGTGGCTGTTATGATCCGCGGGCAGTGTGCCTCACATCCAATGAGAGCCCTTTGTGATTGGTTTGACAGCATGAACGACTATGAGTATGTGGTGCATTTTCACCCTCGTGGCCTTAGAACAGCAGTAGCTCTCATGTTATTAGTCTTTTTTGTCCTGATACCCAGGATAGCTATTTTATAGCTTCTCATTTCTGCGGGTACTTGGGTTGCTTTTCCAGCGGCATACATTGTGCGGACATTCCAAGCTCCAATATTGATGGTGGACCTGGTGGAAAAAAAAGGTGGTTGACCTGGTAGTTTCCAATACATATTGGCTTTCACCACCCGGCTTCATAACTTCTCCATCAGGAGATCCATTCTTCCCCTGGTCCGAGCTGTCTGTATTTCTCTTTGTCTGCTTTTCTGTAGAAGACAGCTTTTCAGTCTTAGAGACTTTGAGAAATAGATTTTAGAACTATACAGGTAACTGAAACATCTTAAAACTTAGAAATTTTGAGAAATAAATGTTAAAACTATACAAGTAACCGAAGCATCTTGCAATAAATATAGAAGCCAGCAGCTAACAAAAGGTTGAGATTTTAGCGACTCACACATTATTGACATAGACTGAAACATTATTGAAATCTCTGAATGTTTCAGCGACCAAAATTTTAACTTTCGCGTATACGAAGTGTTGTAATCGTGTAAAAAAAAAAACACGAGATTTTTACAAATCTCGACGTTTTACACCTCCATGAATCGCAAAAACATAGTTTTGCAATTTTATCCCTATGTCTGTGTGTGTATGTGTTAATATATGTGTGTCTGTGAACACGATAAGTTGATTACCGTTATAGCTAGGTTGATGAAATTTCATATATATGTATTATATCAAATGTGTAGTTCTGTATAAACTTTTCAGCGATTTCCGAAAACCAGAAGTGGAACTTATTCTACTTTTGGTTTTTCAAAAGCATATAAATTGAACAACGTTTAACATAGATAAATGAAATTTCACATGTAAGTAAAAGATTTAATTCTCTGCCTTCTGTTAAATTTTGAAAGATTTCCGTTGACCGGAAGTACCAATTTACGCTATTTCCGATTTCTCAAAAAAACGCATATGAATTTATTAAGTACTAATTATATTCCGTACTATTATACTCATATTGTTTGCCGTTCATTTGGTGCACAATTCTTTTTTCTGCGAGATTCTATTATAATTTTAAAAGTTTAAGTAAATAAAAATGGATTAAAAGTCATGTATATATATTTCCGAGTTGCCATCCCCTGTAGTGTTATATAAGAATATTCGAGAAAATGTAGGGGAGATCACTACCTTTATTATTTTAATATAGAAAGCTAAATTGTTTTAATAATTTTAAAATTTTCAGTGCATTGAAAAGCTAATAATTAGAAACCTTTTTATATTTGTTGTATTGAAGACTAAATATAGAACAGACTAAAGATGGAACAGACTAAAGATAGAACAGACTAAACTCGATGAATTTATTTGACCTAAAAACGCCATGAAAGCTCCAAACAAGGCCCGAAACTCCGGATAGTCCCAAATGTCTCTCGTTGCTGCAGTAGTGCTAGTGGTTGTTGTGGTTGTTGCCAGCGTGGTAGTTGTGGTGGTCGTAGTCTCAGCATAGTACACAAGGACCGTGGCAGTAGACGTGGTCCGAGGTGACCCTTCATCTACACACTGGACTGTCACCGTGAACTTTTGACCCTCGTCACTTGCGCTAAAAATATCTGGAACATTTCAAGTAAGTAAACAGGTCGACGGAGGTTAGGAATAAAGTAAACAGGTTTACTAATCCTTCCATTGAAGGGACACAAACTCATGCTAACTTGAGTAAAATATAGCGCCATTTCTCGTGACGTAGATGTGGTCAGTCGCAGAAGAAGGTGTAGCAGACGTGAGCTCAAAGTGAACTTGATTGTTGGGGGACGTGACATCACTGTCTGACTGGCTGAAAGCTCCTAACTTTTTCAGAATGCTTGAAGAATCCAACTGGTATAATTTCTGTTTGAGGAAAGGTAAGGTCCTAGAGGTAGTTCAGTGACCAAAAAAATATCACATTCGTGTAAACTCTAGGATTGTATGACGCACAAATCTAGACAATAACATATTTGTGTCCTATATAACACAACGTATGTCAAACTAATGTAGACGTATAGTTTGTATGTGTCATGACTATTATATTTTTACTTTCTAGTTTCAGAACGCCGTGTTTCTAAGCCCAACTTTTTGCAAGAATGTCTTGTAATTTTCTATTGTGTACCCTGTCATGTAAGCACACCACTTCGGTGAGAAAAAACTGCCACTGTAGTACCGCCACTATACTACCGTCACTGAAGTACCGCCACTATACTACCGTCACTGTAGTACCGCCACTATACTACCGTCACTGTAGTACCGCCGTATACTTCTGCTACAGCAACTATAGTACCGCCACTATAGTACCTCCTCTGTAATAGTCTACCTTCTACGTAATAGCTTACCTCCTCTGTAACAGTCTACCTCCTCTGTAATAGCTTACCTTCTCTGTAATAGTCTACCTCCCCATGTGCACAATAACCTGGGACTGAATGTAAAACCCAAGTTACCAGGCTCTCCCTAACCCTAACCCAAGTTACCAGGCTATCCCTAACCCTAACCCAAGTTACCAGGCTATCGGTCCTGCACGAGTTGTCATTGATGTCGTTGACGTGGATCTTGACTGTTGCTGTACTCGTTAGACCACCGCTGTCCACTGCGGCCAGGTAGACAACAGTATCTGTTGGCAGTCCTGCTTGGTCAAGGTCGTAGCTGGTCGTCATGGTTACCGTGTCACTGACATAGCTAGAATTAAATTAAATTCAAGTTGTGCCACTCTAGTATTAATGTCGTCTTGAGTACGCCTACATGTCTTATATGGCTTACTAAAGTGTAGACGTAAGATTTGTTTAATCTGGAGTTCATGTCTAGTTTGTTTATGATACGTCTTTTTAGAGCGATAATTTGTCGGTTAGATGTGAGATATGGTTTAAAATAGTGTAGGTGATAAGACAAAGGTAGTAGGCTACAATGTTCTCACCTGAATCTGCAAGTGTAGAAGATAAGACACAAGTAGTAGGCTACAATGTTGTCACCTGAGTCTGTTAGTGTAGATGATAAGACACAAGTAGTAGGCTACAATGTTGTCACATGAGTCTGTTAGTGTAGATGATAAGACACAAGTAGTAGGCTACTATGTTGTCACCTGAATCTTTTAGTGTAGATGATAAGACACAAGTAATAGGCTACAAGGTTGTCACCTGAATCTCTTAGTTTAGATGATAAGACACAAGTAGTAGGCTACAATGTTGTCACCTGAATCTCTTAGTGTAGATGATAAGACACAAGTAGTAGGCTACAAGGTTGTCACCTGAATCTTTTAGTGTAGATGATAAGACACAAGTAATAGGCTACAAGGTTGTCACCTGAATCTCTTAGTTTAGATGATAAGACACAAGTAGTAGGCTACAAGGTTTTCACCTGAATCTGTTAGTTTAGTTGATAAGACACAAGTAGTAGGCTACAAGGCTGTCACCTGAATCTCTTAGTTTAGATGATAAGACACAAGTAGTAGGCTACAAGGTTGTCACCTGAATCACTTAGTTTGGATGATAAGACACAAGTAGTAGGCTACAAAGTTGTCACCTGAATCTCTTAGTTTAGATGATAAGACACAGGTAGTAGGCTACAGGGTTGTCACCTGAATCTCTTAGTGTAGATGATAAGACACAAGTAGTAGGCTACAATGTTGTCACCTGAATCTCTTAGTTTAGATGATAAGACACAGGTAGTAGGCTACAGGGTTGTCACCTGAATCTCTTAGTGTAGATGATAAGACACAAGTAGTAGGCTACAAGGCTGTCACCTGAATCTCTTAGTTTAGATGATAAGACACAAGTAGTAGGCTACAAGGTTGTCACCTGAATCACTTAGTTTGGATGATAAGACACAAGTAGTAGACTACAGAGTTGTCTCCTGAATCTCTTAGTGTAAATGATAATACACAAGTAGTAGGCTACAATGTTGTCACCTGAATCTGTTAGTGTAGTTGATAAGACACAAGTAGTAGGCTACAATGGTGTCACCTGAATCTCTTAGTGTAGATGACAAGACACAAGTAGTAGGCTACAATGTTGTCACCTGAATCTCTTAGTGTAAATGATAAGACACAAGTAGTAGGCTACAATGATGTCACCTGAATCTCTTAGTGTAGATGATAAGACACAAGTAGTAGGCTACAATGTTGTCATCTGAATCTGTTAGTGTAGATGATAAGACACAAGTAGTAGGCTACAATGTTGTCACCTGAATCTGTTAGTGTAGATGATAAGACACAAGTAGTAGGCTACAATGTTGTCACCTGAATCTGTTAGTGTAGATGATAAGACACAAGTAGTAGGCTACAATGTTGTCACCTGAATCTCTTAGTGTAGATGATAAGACACAAGTAGTAGGCTACAATGTTGTCACCTGAATCTGTTAGTGTAGATGATAAGACACAAGTAGTAGGCTACAATGTTGTCACCTGAATCTGTTAGTGTAGATGATAAGACACAAGTAGTAGGCTACAATGTTGTTACCTGAATCTGTTAGTGTAGATGATAAGACACAAGTAGTAGGCTACAAGGTTGTCACCTGAATCTGTTAGTGTAGATGACAAGACACAAGAAGTAGGCTACAATGTTGTCACCTGAATCTGTTAGTGTAGATGATAAGACACAAGTAGTAGGCTACAATGTTGTTACCTGAATCTGTTAGTGTAGATGATAAGACACAAGTAGTAGGCTACAAGGTTTTCACCTGAATCTGTTAGTTTAGTTGATAAGACACAAGTAGTAGGCTACAAGGTTTTCACCTGAATCTGTTAGTTTAGTTGATAAGACACAAGTAGTAGGCTACAATGTTGTCACCTGAATCTCTTAGTGTAGATGATAAGACACAAGTAGTAGGCTACAATGTTGTCACCTGAATCTCTTAGTGTAGATGATAAGACACAAGTAGTAGGCTACAATGTTGTCACCTGAATCTCTTAGTGTAGATGATAAGACACAAGTAGTAGGCTACAATGTTGTCACCTGAATCTGTTAGAGTAGATGATAAGACACAAGTAGTAGGCTACAATGTTGTCACCTGAATCTCTTAGTGTAGATGATAAGACACAAGTAGTAGGCTACAATGTTGTCACCTGAATCTCTTAGTGTAGATGATAAGACACAAGTAGTAGGCTACAATGTTGTCACCTGAATCTGTTAGAGTAGATGATAAGACACAAGTAGTAGGCTACAATGTTGTCACCTGAATCTCTTAGTGTAGATGATAAGACACAAGTAGTAGGCTACAAGGTTGTCACCTGAATCTGTTAGTGTAGATGATAAGACACAAGTAGTAGGCTACAATGTTGTCACCTGAATCTGTTAGAGTAGATGATAAGACACAAGTAGTAGGCTACAATGTTGTCACCTGAATCTGTTAGTGTAGATGATAAGACACAAGTAGTAGGCTACAATGTTGTCACCTGAATCTCTTAGTGTAGATGATAAGACACAAGTAGTAGGCTACAATGTTGTCACCTGAATCTCTTAGTGTAGATGATAAGACACAAGTAGTAGGCTACAATGTTGTCACCTGAATCTGTTAGAGTAGATGATAAGACACAAGTAGTAGGCTACAATGTTGTCACCTGAATCTCTTAGTGTAGATGATAAGACACAAGTAGTAGGCTACAAGGTTGTCACCTGAATCTGTTAGTGTAGATGATAAGACACAAGTAGTAGGCTACAATGTTGTCACCTGAATCTGTTAGAGTAGATGATAAGACACAAGTAGTAGGCTACAATGTTGTCACCTGAATCTGTTAGTGTAGATGATAAGACACAAGTAGTAGGCTACAATGTTGTCACCTGAATCTGTTAGAGTAGATGATAAGACACAAGTAGTAGGCTACAATGTTGTCACCTGAATCTGTTGCCGTTGTTTGTGGCCAGGAAGTAAACAGATCTCGGAGTGCCGTCCTCCGGGTCTGTGATGACAGCATTGAGTTGACAGGACGAGGAACCTGCCTGAGAGTTAGGGTTAGGGTTAGGGTTATGGATAGGGATATGGTAAGGTTTTAGGAGTTTGAGCCGTCAACATTGGATAGCTTACAGTCAAAGTTAGTGTTAGATTATAGTCTAAATGCTGTCCAACTGACAGAAGTACCCAATCAGGTTAAACTTACAGTCCCTTCGTCCAGCTGACTGAAGTACCCAATCAGGTTAAACTTACAGTCCCTTCGTCTAGCTGACAGAAGTACCCAATCAGGTTAAACTTACAGTCCCTTCGTCCAGCTGACTGAAGTACCCAATCAGGTTAAACTTACAGTCCCTTCGTCTAGCTCAGGGGTCTCCAAACTACGGCCCGCGGGCCGGATGCGGCCCGCGAGGTCCTCTCATCCGGCCCGCAGAGATCATTTTGTCCACGGAAAAAAAAACGTTTGTTGGTGATGGCTGAGGAACTTTGCCCAGAAAAATCAAAGATATGCCTGGAAGAAACTGGCCCCCGAACTGAAATTTGATAGGTAATGCGGCCCTCGGACTGAAAAGTTTGGAGACCCCTGGTCTAGCTGACAGAAGTAGCCAATCAGGTTAAACTTACAGTCCCTTCGTCTAGCTGACAGAAGTACTCAATCAGGTTAAACTTACAGTCCCTTCGTCCAGCTGACAGATGTACCCAATCAGGTTAAACTTACAGTCCCTTCGTCTAGCTGACAGAAGTACCCAATCAGGTTAACCTTACAGTCCCTTCGTCCAGCTGACAGATGTACCCAATCAGGTTAAACTTACAGTCCCTTCGTCCAGCTGACAGAAGTACTCTGTTTTATCAAACTTTGGGATCTCGTTAACATTAGCGACGATCAAGTTGAGAATTTTCGTACTATAAAAATAGAAAGGAGTTTAGCGTTAAAAAAATTATCTGTTGACATAGTTTTGAAAGGTTTTACAAACACACATTCGCACGCACACACACACGCACGCATAAAAACACATAGACACACACAAATATATCTACACAAACACACTCTAGCGCGCACAAACTAGTATGTCTCGACTGTTTACTAGGTTTAGAACTACCTTTCAATATTTTCTATCGGTCAGTCTATATATCGGTTGGTCGGTCTATCTCTCCTGTCTCTCTCCCTGTCCCTCTCTTTCTCTGTCTCTCTCTCTTTATATATATATATGTATATATATATATATATATATATATATATATATATATATATATATATATATACGTGTATATGTATGTGTATGTGTTAGTATATACGCAAACTTATACATGTCTTTGTGTACGAATATATATACTATATATACGGTAAGTCTTTTTTAAATGCACCAGCTTGGGAACAGAAAAAAACACAACACAAACACAACACGAAAACAGCACTAACATAAAAGTAAACATAAACATAAACACAAAAGAAAACACACAAGAAAACTCAAACATAATGCAAACAAATTCAATGCAAACACAAACGCAAAACAAACACAAACGCAAAACAAACACAAAAGAAAAATCAAACGTAAGAAAACACAAATACAACACAAACACTAAATAAAACACAAATACAAGGCAAAAACAAAGGAAAACACAAACGTAACACACAAACACAAAAGAAAGAACAAACGCAAATAAAACACAAAGTAATCACATACACAATGCAAACGCACAAAAAAAAAAACAAAAAAAAAAACAACGAAAAAACAAACACAACACTCATAACATAAACACAACTTAAATATAAACATAAACGCGTAGTGCTCACAGTCTAGCGGATGGCGCCAAATCGCACCCTGTCCGAGCGCCGTCGGACGCGCCTGATTCAGTGAATGACGATAAAAACCACGGCTTGTCCGCAAACGGAAAGATAGATTAATAATTAATTAACAGTACTTCAGTGTATAAAATAAACAAAAGGCAGTATTTAAAATATCGGTGTTTTACCTACCATAATGCACTTTATCAATTCACTAGCCATGGGTACCCGTTACACGGGCTATTCTCGTGACTGTTATCTCTCTTCTAATTACAAAAGGCAACCCGATTTTTCTATTAGATATTTATCTCCGGGTAGCGGTATTTTAAAACGCCCGGGGAAGGATGTGTGGGTTGTGTGTGCATGTGTGTGTGTGTGTGTGGGGGGGGGGGGGGTAGCGAATACTGTTTTTTCTTTATTTTTGTATGAATTACTTTTTCCAATTTCGTTCTGTGGTGAAAGGGGAAGAAACGGTAGAGATGCCTGAAGAAAATGTATATACCTACGGAAAGTGAGTAATGCAGGGGTTCCCAACCTTTTTTTTTACTCTAGAGCACATTGTAAAATATCGGTAGGGTGACGGGCACCACCTATTTTAAATCGACAAACTCCTACCAGAGGCGTAGCGACCCGGGGAAAAAATTTTCGATTTGCACCCCCCCCCCCCCCCCCTCAAACTTTCGATTTCCACCCCCTTCAACTATTCAATAATGTTTATGAAAAAAAAAATCTGTCTCTGTGAATAGTGAGAGGCGGGCACATACGAATCGTTCGGCGGGCGCCATGGCGCCCGCGGGCACGGGGTTGGGAACCCCTGAAGTAATGAAATGAATTGTAATTCAGCTTTTAAAAAATTCATTATCGGAAACTCAGAAAAAAAAAACATTTTATTGATCAAAAGCATTGAAATGAAACATTCTTAAGATTAAGTTTAGGCCGAGAAAACTGTATTGCATACATTTCAAATCTTATTTGAATGAAATAGTTCATTTCTTTATATGCTAAACATGGAAGATGACGACATTAGTTTTGTGCTCTTTCCTTAGTGTAAACATTAGTGACGTCATTGTTAAATGCGTTCTTGTCGCAACTATAAACACTTTTCCGGTTGCATATTTAAAATTGATTTTCTACATTCGAATATGCCTTTATTTTTATTTTTTTCTTCTTTAAATATAATTTTGTTTACTGATTTATTAAAACATAAACCATATTATTTTCAACAAAAAATCCGTATCAAGTTCTCCATATATCGCTGACAAAAATGATCTGATAGCCATATAAAATATTTTGCGGACAGAGAGCGAGAAGTGCGCACATGAGCTTTTATATATTAGGATGCTATTTTTTCAGTACATTAAATTCATAATAAACCGGGAGTGATCTCCCTTAAATTTTCTCGAATATTCTTATATAACACTACGTGGGATGGCAACCCGGAATATAGACATGATTTTTAATTACTTTAAACTTTTAAAAATAGAATAGAATCTCGTAGAAAAAAGAATTGCGCACCAAGCGAACGCCAAAACAAAATGTGCATAATAGTGCGGAATATTATTAGTTCTTTATAAATTTACATGCGAATTTGATAGAAGGTACACGATTAGATCTTTACTTACATGTGAAATTTCATTTATCTATCTTAAATAGTACTCAAGTTATAGGCTTTTGAAAAATTCAAAGTAGAAAAAGTACCAATTCAGATTATCGAAAATTGCTCAAAAGTTGATACGGACTTACGGTTTTGATAAAATACTTATATATGATATTTCATCAACCTAGCTGTAACGGTACTCAAGTTATCGTGTTTACACACACAAACACATACACACAGACATACGGACAAGATTGCAAAAATAATTTTTTCCTACTCAGGGAGGTGTAAAACGTCGAGATTTGCAAAAATATCGATTTTTTTTTGCACTATTACAAGACATTCGCTATACTTTGTATATACGAGATAGTTAAACAAAAATTGCAATAGAGTTTCATGACTAAAACCATTGCACATCTAATGAACGTGATGACGGAATAGTTGATTAAAAATTATAATTAGTAAACAGTACGTTCAGCGAATAAAATAAATAAAAGATCCTTCCATGCTAATTATAATATTCCAACAATAATGTCCTCTTACACGTCTGCAGAATTTGCATTAACATTTTGCTAATCATATTATTCAACAATAATTCTTTTTGGAGATTTTGCATTCATATTTTTTTTATTAGCATGAGTTGAAGTTATTTTAAAATTACCTCCCTTGGCAAAATTACAAAACAGTTTAATTAATTAGCTTTTTCGACCCTACTGTTATTAAAAATTATCCACTTTTTCTAGGAAGCTAAACAAAAAATGATATTTTACATTAATCCGTTTAATACGCTTTGGCAATTTCCGTGTATTTAATATTTTCTTCACGTTATGCGAAAGAGTAAAAACTTTAGCAACTATAAAATAAATTTAAGTCGGTTTATAAACTTACCATACTCTATTACATAAAATAAGACACTGCGATGCAAGTAAAAAGCACGTTATGTGATGTGTTTACTTTTATGGTTCCAAAATCTGACTGATACACTACCTAGCCGCTTATATATATATATATATATATATATATATATATATATATATATATATATATATATATATATATATATATATATATATATACCCCTTCAATCTTAACTTTTTTTAATCATTAATTTTGACGATGAGCACTTTAGATATATAACACTATGACGATGAAGTCTGTTATCATCTTATATATCTTAGTAATCCGCAGTCTGCTACATGCATGCAGAATTCAACTTTATATATTAAATGTATGTGTGTATGTTTGTGTGTGTGTGTCTGTGTGTGTCTATCTCTCTCTCTCTCTCTTTCTCTGTGTGTGTGTGTCTGTATGTCTGTGTGTGCTAAGTAAAACTGCTGTTGTTCACCTGGACAGGTAGCCGTCAGTGACTGTGCAGGTGATCGTGTATGAAGACTTGGTCTCGTAGTCAAAGGCGCCGTTATAGGCCACGACCAGCGAGCCGCCTGTACATTTAACATGAGCATATAAGTATAGCTGCAGCTAGAGTATCTAGAGTATCAAATAAATGCAGCTAGGCAACCTCTTGTATCATATAGCTGCAGCTAGAGTATCGGTTATATCATACAGCACATATATAGCTGCAGCTAGAGTATCTGTTTTATTATACTGCTCATATATAGCTGCACCAAGACAACCTCTTGTATCATACATCACATATATAACTGCAGCTAGAGTATATGTTGTATCATACAGCACATATATAGCTGCAGCAAGAGAACCTTTTGTGTGATACAGCACATCCTATAGCTGCAGCTAGAGAAGTTCTAGATTACAAATATGAAAGGATTCTTAAAATTTCACGTGAAGTTGAGTTTGACCTTGAATAAAACAAATATTTTTTCTAATTTATAGTGCTTTTAAACGCTTATTATTATTACGATTTCTATTATATTTGCTTTATTTTCCATTTTTTCTGTTATTCGTTCTAAAGAAAGTGAAGACCACACCCTACTTAAGAGTATTTGCTTTAAGATCCGATAAGTAAATTTCTAAAAGACAATCAATTTGATAATCTCTATAATGGCTGATATAATGTCTAGATAGATTAAGAATTAAATAATCTTGCATCGTCATCAGGTAAGGTTGGAACGAATTAGCTTTATTAGAAATTGGTCAAAATAGAATAACAAGATTTGCCACAAACCAAGAACAAACAAATGTTGCGGACTAACTAAAAGCTTATAAATAATAAAATAAAACTACATCCTATTATATGATGTAATACGAAAAAAAGAATACCCCATATTGAAATTAAATTAATATACATATATCTTTCCAGTGTAAAATGATAGCTGGTAATGAATCTTTAGAGTTAGGGTGTTAAATGTCTCAATAGGGTTTTAAGCATTCATTAGGGCTAGTGAAGTTTAGCTTGTTAGGGTTAGGGCTTATTAGGTTTATTAGGCTTAATCTTTTATAGTAATTGTTAGTAAACCTACACCTAGGAGAGATTGAGTTAAAGTGATTGTAAATAAACCTTGACCGCTTTATTTAAGGTTAGGAAACATTGGCCTACTCAATTGGTCGTAAGTAAACTTGGAGTCATCGGCAGATGACCCACTCGTGCAGACAGGGGTTAGACTTGATCCGGAGTCATCGGTGACTCCAAGATTTACTATGATGCGACCGGCTGTTGCGTCTTCTGATAAACTCACGGTTGCCGGAAGACTGGTCATGTCCGGTGCTGTATTAAATCCTGAAATGTTATTTCAAGTAGGTCATCTATTATTATGTATGGGCACATGGGCTTTTGTATATTAGAAGGTTGTCAAAGATTGGAGGTAATTTAAAAAAATTAAATACTTTAATATTTAAAACAGAATGACGGAATGACTGACACACTACCACCAGCCTTATATATATATATATATATATATATATATATATATATATATATATATATATATATATATATATATATATATATATATATATATGTATGTATATATATATATATATATATATATATATATATATATATATATATATATATATATATATATATATATATATATATATATATATATATATATATATATATATATATTGTCGCATTCGGGCAAGTGTCTTCGGGGCAAACATCCAGCTCCCGGTTACGAAAGATCCTCAAGATAAGATGGCCAGACAAAATATCAAATAAAGTTCTGTGGCAAAGCACAAATCAACAGCCAATAGGTTACGACATCAATAAATGGGCATAGATTGGACATACCGTGAGAAGGGGAGAAGATAATATTGTAAAAATAGCTATGGACTGGAACCCCCAGGGAGAAAGGAAAGTGGGCCGGCCTAAGAGATGATGAAGAAAATCTGAAGAATAAGGGGCGAAGGCCGCTGAGCTCACGTGGACTAAGATAAAGAGAGATGCCCTCAATTTGCTATATATTTATCTTGCCTAGGTAGGGGGGGTAGGTACCCATTAAGTCGCTTTTGGTTCAACTATTAATTTTTGATATCCTGGTATAACATCGTTGACCTTGACCTAATTTACTGGGAATCTATTCACGAGACCGGGTGTATTTCTGATTCTTCTTGTCATAATACAACTGTTACTTACTTAAATCTATTTCTGAACCAGTATACATGTATAATTGTAAATTTATGTTTAGAACAGTCATCTAAAAACACGCTATGTTCATTCTGAGTTGGTCATTACCCCCCCCCCCCCCCCCCCCCCCTATCACCACAATTGTGTAGAGCGACATTAATATCACACCTAGGTATACGCTTGGTAGGATAATTTACCCAAAGCGGCTGGACAGAAGTAAATGAACTTGAACCCCTTCCCCCAACCCACCCCGAATTGATCTGTTAAGTACATTTGGGAAAACGTGTAATGAGATACCAAAGTACCATGCCGCCAGAATCATAGCTTTTGAAACAGGTAAAACTGTAAATATTGTTTTTGCAATAACCAGTAAAGAGGTGTGTGATCAATACAGTAATCCAACCCATACAATATCATAATGTTAAAAATGATCTTTAAAGAACACCAAAAATAAAACAGTAGCTATCTAAAAATTATAACTGGAACTGCAAGATCCATAATTTATTTATATGTAAGCTATTATTCAAAATGTTCACAAGAGAGTGGTTATTTCCCCTAGTTCGTGTGTCTTAATTAATACTAGAATACCCGTCATCCGTTGGATAACTGGGTTTCGGGGGTCATCCATCAAAAAACATCACGTCTGTCACTCAGAGGCATAGCGACCCTTCCCGGCGCCCGGGGACAAACTTTTCGATTTTAACCCCCCCCCCCCCTCCAAGATTTTGATTTTCAACCCCCCCCCCCCCCCTCAAACTTTTGATGTGCACCCCCCCCCCCCCCCACTCAAACTTTCGATTTGAACCCCCCTCAACCTTTCAATTTATTTTTCCAAACCATTTTGGCGCCCCAACATATGTCCCCCCCCCGCCCCCCCCTTCCCCCCTCCACCTCCCCCCGCCTCCCCCAAAAAAACAAACAAAAAAAACAAACAAAAAAATAAATATTCAAACATGTAAACAAACTTGACTTTTAGTAGTATATAGATTGATAGATTCTAGGAATCATTATGTCAAATTGTTTTTTTTACAAGGATTACAAAACAGATTGTGTTGCGTTAATTGTTTTGGTTGTATTGTGTGTATATTTTGTTTGTTTTTTTGTTTTGTTTAGAGCAGTGGTTCCCAACCTTTTTTGAGTGGCGACCCCCTTTTATAAAAATTAAGTGACCCGCGACCCCCATAGAATTAAAAAGCCGAAATTAGTATGGAAATTAATAAGCACTAAAATAACATTTTCTAGTAGACTTTCAATATGAACTACTCTTGATAACTGTTTTATTACCATGAGTTAAATTGCATACTATTCACTAAACATTCGCGGTTACTTTTTTTTAAAGTATTTTTTTTTGTTAACGCCAACCTATGTCATTATCATTATCTTAATTGTGTTTTTAATCGAAAAATAGTGTTGAAAATCTATTCTCGAAAAGTCAATCAATTTTACCTTTGGTATGAATGGTGAAATTTACAATATATCCAAGATTTATTTTCTTCGCCGATTTTGCAGCTTTGATAAAAATGCCCCGAGATAATCATGGAGAGTGATAATATTCTTTCATTTTCCATGAAGCTTCAGGTTATGCTTATGTAGATGTTCGAACACATCTGCTAGGTATGATACTCTCTCCAACCACTCTATGTCGTTTTAAGTATACCAAAAGGTCTTGTTTCCTTTGCATTTCCAAGAACAATTTTATTTCAGATTTCAATTAAAAAACGCGATTCACAACAATTCATTTGACAGCCAGCGCACTGTAGTGTAGAAGAGAAGAACCTCGTGACTTTATTTAGGTCTTTGCTCAGTTCTATAAAGGCTCCAGATTTTATATAATTTACCACTTATACCAGCAATGGAGTCTTGATGGCGATTGGTGAGGGCAGTGGTTAGGGAGCTAAATCTTTTCTGCTTTCTGAAAGCTCGATTTTGACCTAAACATAGAGGGTGCACCATCCGTACAAACCCTTACAGCCGTTTTAATCATCCAATTTAAAAAAAACTATTTATTTTCTCCATGCTATCTTCACAAAAGAGCAACTCTTCTTTGCTATCATATGAATGAAAATAGACAAAGACCAGCAACTGCGAACACGAACTCAAGTCTGTTGATTTATCAACTTGAAAAGCAAGCAATGGTGAAAGCTTAGTTTCAATAAAAATGTGTTATTTAACATCTATGGACATGTCTGCTATAAGCCGCTGACTATTATTATTAGAAAGATATTTGTTGCATCTTTACTGCACTGGAATCCCCAAGAATTAACTTCACCATCTTCAACATGCAGCGTTTGATGAGATTTTCTCCTATTGTGTTGTTTTTTTTTGCTGGACATTTTCTATCGTGACTTCATGTGATGCTTGCACTAATGCTGTGTTTCCTTGGTGAAAACTTCCTGTTCGATCAAGTCTCTGACGTTTGCAACTAGCTTCATACCGACGAAAGAACTCCATATCTTTTTTGGTGTGTTTCGAATGACTCGTCTCAAATGACGTTTTAGTTTTGAAGATTTCATAAACTCGTGACTGAGAACAACTTTGTACAGTACCCTTTGCTTCTTCTCTATTCCCTTTCCAGTGATGTTAGTAAAGCCGAATTTAAAAAAATTTTCTTAATATTTATGTTTTGTTTCTCATTATTAAGGTTTAGTATACCAGTTGGCGACCCCCCAGAAAGCCCTTCGCGACCCCCAAGGGGGTCGCGACCCCCAGGTTGGGAACCCGTGGTTTAGAGTGATAAATTGTTTTGTTTTATCGGTCATGTGTGATCTTATGGGATGATTGTTTTGTGTGAATTGCATGTGTGATAATTACTATTTGTGTTATGCTTGTGTGATGATTGTAATACGCTTTTGGGATGATTGTTCTTGATATTTAATGTAACCTACCCACTATTTCCACGTAAAGAACGAAGGCAGAGTTGACCGTGTTGAACGAATCCGTTGCTGAGATGCTCACCTTGTGGCTCAATGTTGTGGCAGCTTGAAGGTCGATGGCGGTCCGCACTGTGCCGTCCGCTGCAAAATAAGTAACACCGTGCCGTTAGATGACAAATGAGTGACACCGTGCCGACAGATGACATATGAGTGACACCGTGCTGACAAATGACATATGAGTGACACCGTGCCGTCAGATGACATATGAGTGACACCGTGCCGTCAGATGACATATGAATGACACCGTGCCGTCAGATGACATATGAGTAACACCGTGCCGTCAGATGACATATGAGTGACACCGTGCCGTCAGATGACATATGAATGACACCGTGCCGTCATAGTGCCGTTAGATGACATATGCGTGACACCGTGCCGTCAGATGACATATGAGTGACACCGTGCCGTCAGATGACATATGAGTGACACCGTGCCGTCAGATGACATATGAGTGACACCGTGCCGTCAGATGACATATGAGTGACACCGTGCCACCAGATGGCATATGAGTGACAACGTGCCGACAGATGACATATGTGTGATACCGTGCCGTCAGATGACATATGAGTGACAGCGTGCCGTCTTAGTGCCGTTAGATGACATATGTGTGACACCGTGCCGTCAGATGACATATGAGTGACACCGTGCCGTCAGATGACATATGAGTGACACCGTGCCACCAGATGACATATTAATGACACCGTGCCGTCATAGTGCCGTTAGATGACATATGAGTGACACCGTGCGGACAGATGACATATGAATGACACAGTGCCGACAGATGACATATGAGTGACACCGTGCCGTCAGATGACATATGAGTGACACCGTGCCACCAGATGACATATTAAAGACACCGTGCCGTCATAGTGCCGTTAGATGACATATGAGTGACACCGTGCCGACAGATGACATATGAGTAACACCGTGCCACCAGATGACATATTAATGACACCGTGCCGTCATAGTGCCGTTAGATGACATATGAGTGACACCGTGCCGTCAAATGACAAATGAGTGACACCGTGCCGTCAGATGACATATGAGTGACACCGTGCCGACAGATGACATATGTGTGACACCTTGCCGACAGATGACATATGAGTGACACCGTGCCGACAGATGACATATGAGTGACACCGTGCCGACAGATGACATATGAGTGACACCGTGCCGTCAGATGACATATGAATGACACCGTGCCGTCAGATGACATATGAGTGACACCGTGCCGTCAAATGACATATGATTGACACCGTGCCGACAGATGACATATGAGTGACACCGTGCCGTCAGATGACATACGAATGACACCGTGCCGTCATAGTGCCGTTAGATGACATATGTGTGACACCGTGCCGTCAGATGACATATGAGTGACACCCTGCCGTCAGATGACATATGAATGACACAGTGCCGACAGATGACATATGAGTGACGGCGTGCCGTCAGATGACATATGAGTGACACCGTGCCACCAGATGACATATTAATGACACCGTGCCGTCATAGTGCCGTTAGATGACATATGAGTGACACTGTGCCGTCAGATGACATATGAGTGACGCCGTGCCACCAGATGACATATTAATGACACCTTGCCGTCATAGTGCCGTTAGATGACATATGAGTGACACCGTGCCGTTAGATGACATATGAGTGACACCGTGCCGTCAGATGACATATGAGTGACACCGTGCCACCAGATGACATATTAATGACACCGTGCCGTCATAGTGCCGTTAGATGACATATGAGTGACACCGTGCTGACAGATTACATATGAATGACACCGTGCCGTCATAGTGCCGCCGTTAGATGACATATGAGTGACACCGTGCCGACAGATGACATATGAGTGACACCGTGCCGACAGATGACATATGAGTGACACCGTGCTGACAAATGACATATTAGTGACACCGTGCCGTCAGATGACATATGAGTGACACCGTGCCGTCAGATGACATATGAATGACACCGTGCCGTCAGGTGACATATGAGTGACACCGTGCCGTCAAATGACATATGAGTGACACCGTGCCGTTAGATGACATATGAGTGACACCGTGCCGTCAGATGACATATGAATGACACCGTGCCGTCATAGTGCCGTTAGATGACATATGTGTGACACCGTGCCGTCAGATGACATATGAGTGACACCGTGCCACCAGATGACATATGAATGACACCGTGCCGTCATAGTGCCGTAAGATGACATATGAGTGACACCGTGCCGACAGATGACATATGAGTGACACCGTGCCGTTAGATGACATATGAGTGACAGCGTGCCGTCATAGTGCCGTTAGATGACATATGTGTGACACCGTGCCGTCAGATGACATATGAGTGACACCGTGCCGTCAGATGACATATGAGTGACACCGTGCCGTCAGATGACATATGAGTGACACCGTGCCGTCAGATGACATATGAGTGACACCGTGCCACCAGATGACATATGAATGACACCGTGCCGTCATAGTGCCGTTAGATGACATATGAGTGACACCGTGCCGACAGATGACATATGAGTGACACCGTGCCGTTAGATGACATATGAGTGACAGCGTGCCGTCATAGTGCAGTTAGATGACATATGAGTGACACCGTGCCGTCAGATGACATATGAGTGACACCGTGCCGACAGATGACATATGAGTGACACCGTGCCGACAGATGACATATGCGTGAAACCGTGCCGACAGATGACATATGTGTGACACCGTGCCGTCATAGTGCCGACATATGACATATGAATGACACCGTGCCGACAGATGACATTCTGCTGACAGATTGTCCGGACGACGAGCCGTACCTGCACCAACTGTGAAGTACCCGCTTGATGGTGTGGAACTGGAAGAAAACAAGATGGCGTCACCGTCGGCATCCGTGTAGGCCACGGTGTAAATGTTGCTGTACTGGGGTGTACTTGTTGCAGTCACGGTCACTGTGGCGCTCGCTGGATGGTATAGAAATGTACGTTGTAACAACTTGACTAGCAAATAGTGTAACTTTTAGTCAAACGACTAGAGTATAACAATTAGTCAAACGAATAGCGTTTAAAAACAAGTCTAACAAAGAGTCTAATTGATTTTAAAACTATGAGTTGTAAGATTGTGATTTAAAACTTACTAGGAGAAAATGTAGGCGCTGTGTTGCTGGATGCTATCACGTTAAGAGTTCGTCTATTAATGCTGCACAAGAAATGTCGCATATAGTATGTTAAGTAGCAGAATAAATAGTCGCCTATTTATTTAGTATTTAAATAAAAAATCAAAGTTTAGTGTTAGAATGAAGAGTCATGTAAATGTTTAGTATTAGAATAAAAAGCCACTTAATGTTAGCTTTGCTAGTGAACCCTAAAACAACTGAATACATCGAGACTAATCCGCACTAATAAAAAAAACTGCAAAAAATAGGGATTGTGATACTGCAAAAAAAAAATGAATAGAGAAAGAATCGTAATACTACAGAAAAACATCAAATTTGTACTTTTCTTTCATATTTTTACGATTTTTCAGTAACCGGAAAAGGTACTTTGATTTATTTCCGGTTTCCAAAATACCGATAACTTGAGCACCTTTCGCTCATTCTTCAATTTAGCTTATTCCCTCATCCGTTCATTCGTTTATTCGTTCGTTCATTGTTTTTTAAGTGTTCATTCACTTATTCGTTTATTCGTTCTTTTGTTCGTGGAGCTATTGTACAATAACAGTGATGGGTGGAGCTATTGTACAATAACAGTGATGGGTGGAGCTATTGTACAATAACAGTGATGGGTGGAGCTATTGGATAGTAACAGTGATGGGTGGAGCTATTGTACAATAACAGTGATGGGTGGAGCTATTGGATAGTAACAGTGATGGGTGGAGCTATTGTACAATATCAGTGATGGGTGCAGCTATTGGATAGTAACAGTGATGGGTGGAGCTATTGTACAATAACAGTGATGGGTGGATAATAACAATGATGGGTCGTGCTAGTGGCCAATGATGCGTATAGTTTGGGGATGTTAGGGGTGAAGCTATTGGCTGATGCAGCAGCGGATGTTAGGGGTGAAGCTACTGGCTGTTGCAGCAACGTACTGAATGTACTTACACGTTGTTGTTGCTCTCCTTGCATGTGACTCGAACTGGGTACGTTGTACCAGGGGTTAGGTTTACGCTGGCGTCGTAATACACATAGTATCCTGCACAAGCGAATGTAAAGGTGAGGGCAAAGTTTAATATTTGTAGAGTTGTCAGGACAGACGTTCATGTTACTCATGTTTTCTATTTACATGTTGCAACAAAAAAAACAACCCCAAATTGCCCGGAATTTGACGATCGGTTGTTGAGCTGAAAATGTTGAAGATTGTTATTAAAGGTACAACGTCAAAATGACGAAACAGCCCCGTCACAAACTACACCTTAAAAAGGGTTCAATATATTGGTTCCCATCAATGGGGGTTCCCATTATATTGACTCACGACATATTGGCTCCCGACAAATGGGCTCACAACATATAGGCTCCAGACAAATGAATCGTTCGACTTTCGACATAGACGTAACTATTTTGTCCAACCCACCAACCACACGCAGTTCCTATCTCCACTACCACCATAACCTTTTTAAATGCCTAAATGAAAAACTTGTTAATGAACCAACAGCAATTCATAAAAAAATCGAGTTCTTAAAAATTAAATTTCACCAATTTAAAAATTTTGATTTTTTATTTACAACCGCGAAGATCTGTTGCTTAAAAGCAAGTACAGAAGTATTAAATGTATGATATACATACATGTATTATAAAACCATCTAGAAACTAGAAAAAAATTTAGAACTAAAACTGACATACATTTTTCAAAGATTTTAGCTTAGATAAATGGACCGAAGTAATGGTAGGCAAATTACAAAACTTGAGTGCTTGAAACTCGAAATGTCCAATACTCACCATCGTCTGTATTGAGCCAGAACGTCGCAAAAGGTCCATTGTTGACATCTACGAGACAGGTGCAAATGTCGCTTAATGACGCTGGAACACAGTTGACCTGAGTCAACAGATCAGGTTAGGTGAGTGAACGGTCAAGTGAGTGAACGGTCAGGTGAGTGAACGGTCAGGTGAGTGAATGGTCAGGTGAGTGAATGGTCAGGTGAGTGAATGGTCAGGTGAGTGAATGGTCAGGTGAGTGAATGGTTAGGTGAGTGAATGGTCAGGTGAGTGAATGGTCAGGTGAGTGAATGGTCAGGTGAGTGATTGGTTAGGTGAGCACTTACTTTACTGTTAAGTTTATACAACGTCTTAGTTGTAGCTGGTATTGTAACACTACTAGGACTAAACACTGTGTAGCTTGCTGCCTGTTTGAGGAACATAGAAACGCATGTTTCATGTATATATACGTAGATATATACTTATGCTAAGTATATATATCTATATATACAACTACATTTACACCTATATCTATATCTGTATGGTTATATATATATATATATATATATATATATATATATATATATATATATATATACTAGACTACCCGTCATCCGTTGGATAACTGTGAGTTTCGGGGGTCATCCATCAAAAAACATCACGTCTGTCACTCAGAGGCGTAGCGACCCTTCCAAGCGCCCGGGAACAAACTTTTCGATTTGAACCCCTCCCCCCACCCCCCGCAAGATTTCGATTTGCAACCCCCCCCCCCCCTCAAACTTGATGTGCACCCCCCCTCAAGATTTCGATTTGCAGCCCTCCCCCAGTAGTATATTAGGTCCCTTTTGGTTAGCATGGGTGAAGGAGCCATGGGTGAGCAGGAGCAGGAGCAGGAGCAGGAGCAGGAGCAGGATGCGGAACAAAGGATATATAGTAAAATACTCACCCACCTGGCGGATGGTGAAGGAGCCGGCGGGACAATGAGATATAGTAAAATACTCACCCACCGGGGTGAGGGTGGGTGAGGGTGAAGGAGCAGGCGCAGGGTGAAGGAGCCGCAGGCGCAATGACATATAGTAAAATACTCACCCACCTGGGTGAGCAGGTGGGTGAGGGTGAAGGAGCCGCAGGCGCAAAGGCATATAGTAAAATACTCACCCACCCTAGGGTGGGTGAGCAGGTGGGAGAGTAGGTCACAAGGTCACCACCGGTGACCTTGTGACGTAATTAGTAACATTATGACGTAATCATTGACCTAGTTACGTAATTTTAATGTGTTTTTTAATTAGTTTTAATGAGTTTTTTAAATTTTAATTAATTTTTGACCTAGTTACGTAATTTTAATGTGTTTTTTAATTAGTTTGAATTTAATTTTTAAATTTTTAATTAATTTTATTAACGAGTTACGTAATTTAATGCGTTTTTTAATGAGTTTGAATTTAATTTTTAAATTTTAATTAATTTTTGACCTAGTTACGTAATTTAATTACTTTGATTGTATTTTTATTTTGTTTAATTTGTTTGTTTACTTGTTGTTTAATTTAATTACTTTGTTTATATTGTGTAATTTTTATTAACGAGTTACGTAATTTGATTATTTGTTTATATTGTGTAATTTTTATTGACGAGTTACGTAATTTGATTATTTGTTTACTTTTTAATTATTTTTATTTTGTTTATTTTTAATTTTATTTTATTTTATAATTAGTTAAATTATTATTAACTAGTTACGTAATTTGATTTTAATTACTTTTGTTTATTTATTTATTTGATATATTTCTTTTCTTTGTTGTTTAATGTTGTTTATTTATTTGAATGTATGTATGTTTTAAATAAAAGACTAACACTAGCATGTACTAGAACAGTCTTTGTATAGGTACCATTCTTCAACACAACGAACGTTACAAAAATAGAACATCCATTAAAGATAACGATCAGCCACAGCTGTTACGTATCGACCCGCCCGCGAAGTTTTCTCACCGCTGCCCGTTTTAATGGGAATGTATTGATCGCAGCCGCTGGCCCATCACACCTAATTAAATTTTTGTTATGCTTCACCGAGTTTCCCCCGAGCGGTTGACAGCTGTGCAACAGCTGTTGTGCGACAGCTGGTGGTGTAATTAGGTTGAGCAATCGGACATTACCTTGTTGGTTTTCTAGTACGCGTATGCTACACGTATATACACACACACACACACAATCACAGAAACTAACTTTCTTACTTTTATATTAAAAGACAAGTATGTGTTATTGTTTTGTTACTTGTCCCCGAAAGTTATGTAACTCGGTATCCTGTATAAGATGTATGACTGGAAGCAAAATCAACCATTTAAAACGATGGATCCGAGATGGAAACATCCCTTTACCGCTCTGATCGCTGGGCCAACTGGGAGTGGTAAAACAGTATTTGTCAAAACCTTTTTATCCCAGGTGTCAGAGATGCTGGATCCGGAACCCGAGGAAATTTATTACTGTTACGGGGAGTGGCAACCTTTGTTTGATACCATAAAGAACGTTCAGTTTGTGGAAGGTCTTCCTGACTTAGAAAATGGATCAATGGGGGATGGAAAACGTCGACGTCTAGTCGTCATCGATGATTTGATGGCGGAAACAGATGAGCGAATTACAAAATTGTTTACGAAAGTGAGTCACCATCGTAATATTAGTGTCATGTATATTGTCCAAAACCTATTCGGGAAAAATAAAGAACAAAGAACCATCAGTCTCAATTCGCATTACATAGTGTTGTTCAAGAACCCTAGAGACGGTTCACAAATTACAAATTTGGCAAAACAAATGTATCCCGGTCGCGTTTCGTATGTCCAGGAAAGTTTTAAGGACGCAACATCGGCCCCTCATGGTTATTTGTTGATCGACCTTCGACAGGAAACACCGGATAATCTGAGATTACGCAGTAGTATCTTTTCTTACGAGCAGCAAGTCGTTTACGTCCCGAAATAAAAGCAACCATGTCTGAGTCGGTAAAACAACAAGGTGAGATGTTAAGGTTTTTGGCTCGGGCCAAACCACCCGCCGTGAAAGCCGTTGTCGAAAATGCTACCCCACAACTCGTAAAAACGTTATGCGAGTGCTGTCACAATGTCTTAAAAGGCAACGTTCCCCTCACGCCCGGTCAGAAGAGTCGTTTGCGTCGTCACAAAGTGAACTTGAGACAACTTACCAAAAAGTCATTGACCGTCAAAAGACGAAAGCAAATTTTGCAGACCGGTGGTTTCCTAGGTGCTTTACTCGGACCAGTTCTCGGTGTGCTTAAAGGTGTCTTGGGGTTTTAAAGATGGCCAGGAAAATGCTTTTAATGGATCCTCGACTATTAGAGTCTATGCAACAAAAAGCATATGTGCCACCCGATACACTCAACGATAGTCTACGGCTTTTGGATATGCAAATGGAACATATCTTAAATAGGGAAGATTTGTCACCACACGACAAAGTGAGACAATATCAAAAGACACTACAGCTCTACACGACGCGACTTAGCGATTATAGAAACAAGTCCCTAGGATTAGTCGATGTGAAACCATCCACCGTGAATACCCCAACGACCGAGGTTGAAAAACCACAAGAAAACATAACCGAACCTAAAAAAGAAACGATAGACATAACAGAATCTGAAACTAAAACGAAATCCGGCTCGCCTGACTCTGATATTCACCCCTCGAAGAAAACGAAGACACACGTAGAAAAAACACCACCCTCGAAACGTACCAGAAGTAAGAAAACTAAAACAAGCACTACCAAATGGGACGCGTGGGAAAAAACCAAACACTAAAAAGACATTACTATGATCCTAGTAGACCAGGTGCCTACGGCGGCGTGTTTAAGCACCCTGAAATTGGAACTAAGAAAATTAAAGAATGGTTAAGTCATCAGGATACCTACACGTTACATAAACCTCTTCGGCGACGCTTTCAGAGGCGCGCCACCATCACCGGTGGGATAAATCACCAGTTTCAAGCGGATCTTATAGATATGCGCATATTACGAAAGTACAATGGTGGTGCTTCTTACCTAGTGACCTGCATCGATGTGTTTAGCAAATTCGCCTGGGCGATTCCGATAAAGAAAAAAACGGGTAAGGCTCTAGTGGAGGCCGTACGTAAAATATTTACTACTAGAAAACCTATAAATTTTCAAACAGACAAAGGTAGTGAATTTGTCAACAAGACATTTTTAAAATTTCTTAAAGATGAAGGCGTTCATTTCTTTACCACTGAGAATGAAGATATTAAGGCGGCTATAGTTGAGAGATTCAATCGAACATTAAAAGAAAAAATGTGGCGGTACTTTACAAAAACAAATCGTCTTCGTTACATTGATGTCGTAGACGACTTGATCACCAACTATAACCACTCGTACCATAGGAGTATTCGTATGGCCCCTGTGAATGTTAATTTGTCTAATCAAGAAAGGGTCTGGAATACTTTATACGAACATGGGGACATTACTTATCGAAAAGTATTTAACGAAGGTGATCGTGTACGGATCGGCCAAAGCCGAAACACGTTTAAAAAGGGTTATACCCCGTCGTGGACGGAAGAACTGTTTACGGTGAGCCGCGTGAACGCGACAACGCCTGTAACATACGTCTTGAAAGATGATTCAGGTGAAGAAGTGAAAGGTTCGTTTTACAAAGAGGAGCTTCAGAAAGTGGGGGACAAAAAAGTGTACCGCGTCGAACAAATTATACAAGAAAGAAAGGGTGTCGGTGGTAAAGAGTATTTAGTCAAGTGGTTCGGTTATAACCCTTCATTCAACAGTTGGATTTCAGCTAGAGACATTTCGAAATATAAAGACTAGGGATGGAGGAAACGGTAAAAAGCCTAAGTCTGGATGACCCCGTGTTGGAAGAAACGCTCAGACCGTTCGGTGGGATCGAGGTGAGACCCAGATCCACCACGTCTTCTATCGGTTCGACCATTTCGAGTTGGTTCGGTAGACTAAGGACACGACCGGAAATCGTTTTCATCTCTCAAATGTTGGTTATATTTGTCGTCATTGCTTTTTCACTATTTAATCTGACGCGTGGAACGGTCGACGACAAAGAGGGAAAACTCTGGGTCGTGTTGTTATCCAGCTGTCTCGGATATATTTTACCTAACCCAACCATTGCAAGGACCAAAATTTTACAATGAGTTTTTATGTGACCCTGCCTAGCAATACATCACCGAATGTTTTTCCAGACAACGAGGCTGGGCATTTTTTCGTTAAATTACCACAGACTATCGATGTGAGTTTACACTACGAAGTTGGTCTGGTCGAGATTCAAATGCCGAACGCGTTTTGTATGCTTAGAGAACATCAAATTTGGCTCCAGTATCATTCCAGTACAGAAGGTGAAGACGTTAACCTTTTCATATTTGGAGTACGACAGACCAAATATAATTACATAGACCCGCTTGTTAACGCT